AGTTCTTCTAATCAAAATATAAGATTAGTATTAGTAAAATAATTTTTAAAAGTATAATTATCTACTTATTTATTTACAAATATAATCTGTTAAACAAATCTAAATATTCTCTTTCAACTAAGCTATTTATAAGTTATATAAGATATTTATTATCAAGCAACTAATTTATTATTTTCTTCTGTAATATTATCTCTTAAACCGTTTCTTCTGCAAATTTGCTCCCAAATTTTTGAAATTCAATTTGTAATTCGTGTAATGCATATAACACAGAAAATTTAAGATTTTACCTATTTAATCTAAAAAATCCTGGTTTTATTTATTTAGAATTATTTTAGTTTACATAATGCATTGTTCTTTTTTTGGAGAGACTTCAAGAACACAGAACCCAGTGATCATCACATCATGTGATAATATCATTTGTTTACTAGCACTAATTAATCAGTTGCCTAAACTAACTCTAACTTAGGCTGAGTATTTCACTGGGTTCTGTGTTCTTAAAACTTCCCAAAATTTGAGTTACCTAATGAATAATTATTTCCACAAAACCACTACTCAGTATATTATAAGCAAAGAGGTTCCTGTGTTTGGTGCAGATTTAAAAATATAGCCAAGCAAGGAAAATGTAATAAAAATTTACTACAAAGCTAGGTGTGGTGCACAATATGTAATGTGCTATTATGTTTTAATAAGCAGCATCTAGATTCTTTTATCAAGTATTATAAATGTAAATAATAAAATAAATACTGTTTTTATATTGTGGTATACAGTTTGGTATTATGTTTACTATTATTTTGTTTATAGTTGTAATATAAGTGAGCATTGAAAAATTTCAAGGCAAATTTGCTTCTAATTGACAAATGGTTTAAGAGATAATATTTTTGTCTTTAACTATAATAAGTTAGTTATACAAACTTATAAATCTGCATATAATAGATTAGAATAACTTATTAAATAAGGTATTTAGATTTGGTAAATAGAATTTTAAAGATTTAGTTATTATTTGTATTATATTATTTCTCTTTATTCTTTTTTATCACAAAGTTTATTAAGTTTTTAAATTTCTTAATTTACTAATTTTAACTTATTATTTATTTTAGGATAATTAACAATTTGATTCTTAACAAGTTCTCTTTTTACTCAAGAACAATTTGATTTTATTTTATTTTAATTATATATTCCTGGAAATAAAATAAAAATTATAATAATTTCATTAAGACCTTTTTTTTAATTTTGAATCTAATATATGAGAATTAAAATAAATTTGTTATTAAATTTAGTTAAGTATTTGTTGAGATATCTTCATTCAAAGTCTTTGAAAATTTTTAAGGCACATATTGTGAAATGTAAAAATTACTCTGGAAGGCAAGTGAGGGTCAGAGGTCAGAGTGCTGCAGTATCTGCATATGATGTAAATAGCAAATCTGCTCCCTAGAGTTACCACAGCCAAATCTTGTACTATCTTCAATTTCTTCAAATTTTCTGTTTTCTCTGTTTTATTCGATTTTCCTGTTTTATTCAATTTTCCTTATTTTTCCTATTTTAGATATTGTAATGATTTATAAAATAATACTGATCTACAAAAAGACTAAAAAAGTATTATTATCAAAATAATATCAAACGAACAATTCGACAGTATTTTATTAATAGAAATGATAGGATAGTTTTATTTTATTTTATTTTATTTTAACCTGTTTATTTCATATTTAAATTTATCTATATAAGCAACGAAAGTTGCCTTTCAATAAAAATAACTTTCAAGCGTTTAAGAAAAGACTCGCATAAAGTTCAGTTTTGAGAACTAACTTCAAAATTCGAGTAGAAGTTTTGGTAGTATAAATTTGATATTTGTTTAAAAGTATTGTTATTGTTAAAACCCTGCTCTGTAACGATCTGATTTAGATCAATTTAAGGAAACAATAAAAAATTGACCCTTAAATAGTTCTATAGATAAACTTATCGTTAACAATTACTATTGTTAAAACTCCTAACTAATTATAAAGGAGACCATATCATGTGCTATATGATAGAAATTGTCCTTAAAAGAGAAGTTAGAGAACCAACAGAAACACCAAGAATTAAGAGCCAAATACCTACCTCCATAACCTCAAACAATTCTTAACTATTCCCTAAAATCCGAACTAAATCCTGCACACCCTCTTTTAGCCTTCCATTTAGGGTTGATTGTTGGATTTATTGTGTTAAATCCCTGAGACCTGAATACTAGTATAACCAAATCTCTGGTCGAGTTTTATACTAGAACCAGTTCATACCTTTTCAACGGGTATGCAGATCTCTAACCTTTAATAGACTTCTCAGAGATAAAAGAGCTAAAACTCTTTTCAGTAATAAAAGATATAAGGAAGTTTTAGTAAGTTAAAGAGATTAAAGTAGGAAAAGAGGTATAAGAGATTAAAAGATTTTATTAATTTTAGTAGTTTTAGGACATTTAGGGCATTAAAGTATTAAAATAAGTTTAAGTATTATAAGATATAAAAGAGTTATGTAAAACATAGTACTGTAAATTGTATATATTCAGAGTATAATTACTCGTAATAAAGAATAACTCTTGGTAGTATTACTAGCAGAAATATCAACCAACAAACAACAACAAAATGATCTGACTCTGTCAGTTTAGAATCAAGTTTCTTATATAATGTAAAGAAATATCTAAGCAGTTAAGGCTCTCTCAGCTGAGGTGTATGATTTGGTCGAGTAAGATAAGTCTCTTCTTATCTTATAGCTTTCTCTAAATCATTCCTTATACAAATTACCAACTTATTTCTTTAATTATACAAAGGGTTATTTAATTAACGAGGACCAGGTTTGAGGATACAAGAGTTTTACTAGTGTGGGTCATGTAAATCATGAATTTAATGATCAGAGATTTTATTGAATAAGGAAAAGCAATAATTTATGCAACTAATTTATTTAACGATGTATCTTTGTGAAGATAATAAATAACGGAATTTGATTATTTTATAAAAAGATCTATTTTATTTATTTAATATTTATTTAATGTTCGAAACCCGAGGGTTTTTTTTGTAACAAGAGCAAAAACAAAGGTCTTTTATAAATTTTGGTTCTTTACATATTTGATACTATTTACTTATTTTTCTTATTTTCTATTTTTTATACAATAAACCAATTTTATCTTATTTACATTCTTGATAGTTTTTACAGATATTACGAGATTAACAATTATTACTGGTTTGACAATTTTTACATTATTTACAATTATACTAAATTTAGTAATAATTGCTATCTTGTGTCAAAACTTCTCATGACAATTCCCCCATAGTTAATAACAAGTTCCACGAGTTAATTATAGAGTAGTGGCTAGATCTCTCTAAGTTTTAGAGTAGTGACTGTAGAGATCTTGATTAAGTATCTTCCTACGAGTTATTCTTTTCTTAATTATTTTCTTCACTTCTCAACTAATTATTGTCTTCTTTCTTTGATACAGGTTTTTCTTATAATATGCCCCTCCTTATACATTAAAGTTATGACTATCTCTATTTTGTCACGTCCTTTATCAAAAAAAATTTTTTATTTTATTTTATTTTATTTTCTTATTTATTATTATTTTTTTTTTGGAAATTTCTTGTGAATTTAATTCTTAGTACCACTTATTCGGAGTTTTAAGATCTTTATCTGCCTCTTGTTTAGGTAAGTATTTTCTTTTGTTGGTGTCTATACTCAGCTGATTTCTAATGTTAATTCATGATCCGCATATGAACTAGTGATCTACAATAATAAAAATTGTCAATAATCTACATATACAACTTTACTCAATTTTCGAATCTACGTATTCCCAATATAAAAAAAATTATTTTTAATATATTTAATATTACTTTTTTAAAAAAAATATACCAATACATTATAATAATTAGTTTTTTCAGATAAGTAATACTAAAAAAACTTGAATACTTAGTCTATCTAACTTATGATATATAATGATACTAGAGTGGCCTCAGTAAAGTCCAGGTTAATAATTGATATCACTACTGTGGCTGCAGTAGTATTTATAAATCATATATATGCTGCAGCAATGACATTAATTGTCAACCTGAACTTTTGGGGGTCGCTCTGGTATCATCTTAAAATACAAGCAAGTTTTTCTTTTGGAATCGCACATGAATAAAGTATCAGATACTATTTCTTATATGTATGGTAAGTATAAAATAATGCCAACTTATATTTTATCTATCTCTGCACATTTCATATCATCACTTTCATGTAAGTTATTTCAAATAAATTATTTGTACGTATTTAAGTTTGGTATATCAAACCAGATACTAAACTCTTAAAAAAATTACTTGTACATAAATGAATTCTAAGTTTGGTATATCAAACCAGATACCCAACTCTTAAAATTTGTTATAAACTTGAATTAAAGAGCTTGGTATTTGGTTTGAAATACCAATTTGGTTATAGAGTAGAAATTTGTTATACACATATTACAGGCCTTAAGACTACAAGCATCTCTTTCGCTAAAAATGAACTATTTCAATCTTATTCATCACTCTTTTCAAATTAATAGATGATTGAATCGGTAAATTTCAAATTTTACTATTGTTTTTATAATGGCAATGCACAGGGCTCATACTGTAGAATTCACAGAACTTGATTTTTTAATTTAAAAAGAATGATAAATTCAGAAGTTTTGAGATACATTAATGACATTTTTTTAATAAAAATTCCCGTTATAGCTTATTTTGAGTCAAAGGTTTTGATAAACATTATTCAGATATATAGTATACTGTATACTATATCAGTAACTATTTGAAAGAACTTCATTCTTTTATAAATATTGATCCAAATAAAATAATTTTTGAGCTTAAAAGCTTTAAATTCAAAGTGGTTAGTGATTATAATAATATTTACTGAGCATCACCATTTGTAATTTATAAAAAAAAATATATATAAAATAATTTACCTATTACAACTCAAAGCCTTTAAATATAAAACTCAACCACTCTTATATTAATAAATACAATAACATGTCAAAATACAAAACTACGTTTGTATTACAAGGCAAACTTATACAAAACCTACATTTTGGGCCATATGCTAGAAATTAGTGGATCTCACGTCCAACTCATAATGATTTAACATATATATTGCTCTATCCAGTTCGTCTTGATATGAAAACTATAACTACAGTAAATCAGCGTGACTTCATAATTACAGTTGTCCAGAATAATTTTGAACCCAGGTATATATGTCAATCAGAAGCCTTGCAAAGTAGTATATGTTGAAGTTCATCAGAAGCAATTACTTCTATATATCAGCAAGCTTTTTCTACAAAAACTAGATTAGATGGTCTATTAGTTATAGGTTATGATGATTCAGAGATATGTGAAAAGTTACTTTCCGATATTTATTTTCATCCTTATACTTTTACAAATGGAAGCATAAACTTGACTATTTTTGGAATTGGTAAATCAAACAACCCCAATTAGAATTATGCTAGAAAAGGATACCGAAGCTCTTTTGCGTATAACTTTCACAAAACTCGATCGATATTTTTTCAAGAATTTAATAATAAAGAAGCGATTGTTAGAATTTATCAAAATTTTCAAGAAATTCAGATTTTTCATAATACTAACCCTAACTCCGTTTGGAATAAAATTGGTCTATTAGCACAATTTACAGGAAGCATGCTATTTGGACTTGAATATGAACGAACGAAGTCAGAAATTAGCAAAGAACTAACCCTTTCGTGTACTGTAGAGAATTGGCAAAATGAACAAATAATGAATACTCTTTTTAATTATCATTTAAGAAAAAATATCAATATATCTATAAAATGGAAAAAATTTTTTATTAGCTGGCAAAATCAAGAAAGTAATCTTATTGAATTAACAACAAAATTACAAGAAATATACCCACCAAACTATACTATTAAAGACTGTGAATTGCGTGCCTGGAGAACCTTATTACACTATACAGGCTGTACCAACATAACACCTTCTAGAAAGGAATCTACGGTAATCTTTTAAAATAAATAAATGATAAACAAATACTTATTACAAAGCTCCTAATTGTTTACTCATGACCTTTTTGCTGATATTCTCACAGTTGTTATTTTCACAGAGGATTTTAAGTCTGCTGTAAAAATATCAACCATGAAAACATCAGTAAAAAGTTATGAGTGAACAATTAGGATCCGTGTAATAAATCAGTTCTTATACATATTTGTCATCGATATCATTAAAATCCAGAATCAATCTTGATATCATCATTGAGGCACAACCGCAATACTAAATAATATTTCTAATATTTAATGATATGATTACTCATGAAATAATTATTACATACTGCATCAAATTAAAATTTGTGCCAAATTAAAATTTAAAGTAGAACTAGGATAATTTTTAAAATAATACAAATATTAATCTGATGCATAATATAAATAATTCTAACTTCACAGTTATTTGTAGTTTGAATTTTGGACTCGATCAAAAGACCCGATAAATGACTAAGTGATGTTAAAGCAATTATACAAAAATGGATATCTTAATACTACTCCTGAAAATCATGAAAATGTCGTGGATCAATTTTGGAATGCATTTCAGAATGCTTTAGATGTTAATATTCGTGAAATAGACGGAAAGAGGAGAATATTATTAATTATTGCAGATAAAATTCTCTATGATATTATCAAAGAAAAGTTACCAGTTAGTATTTGTTAAATTATTGCACAGGTCTTATGTGATAACTCGTGCTTTTTTTATTTACTTATTGGCATGGAATAGACACCGTGCAATAAGATAGTTATTATATGAGCATATGAATAAGCTAGTTACACACAGGTTTATATTTAAATCTGTGCCTTCAGCACGAAATATGAACCTGTGTGTAACTGGCTTATTTATACATATACATACAATAACTATAAAATATTTTTAAAAAATATTTGAACTAATAAATAATTATTTTAGGTCTCAAATTATCTAATTACTGAAGCACGTCAGTATGCGCATATTAATAGTCCAGGAGGTATCTAACTTGAAAAGCCTAAGATAACTAGAGAAAAATTAGCACTAGAAAAGAAAGAACAAATTGAGTATTTTATTCAAAATAAAGCAAACGTAGTAATGAGCTCTTATAAAACAGATAGTACTACTGGATTACCTATATATTACCTAAAAAATAATAAAGAGGTTTTATGGGAACAATTTCACGAAGAGTACCCTAATGGCATTAAAAGAACAACATTTCATAAATATTTACAAGGCAGCCAATATATATATAAGGAAAACTTAGGTGGTCTTTGCTCAATCTGTAATATGTATGGGTATGAAACATTTGATGAGCTTAGAACATTAGTACAATGCTATGCAGACTTGGATCATCAGATATTAAATTCAAAATATTACCTTTAAAATCATAGCAGACCAGTATGGTATAGATAGCGGGTCAGTTATACATATGTGTCTAAATTGCCCATCTTAATAAAAAAGTAATTACAGCATTTAGGCAGTCGAAATTAGTCTTATATAGTGCCAAAATTAATTTTGATATATGTCAAAATTATTGCCAAAATTTTTTGAACTCTTTTCATCAAAATAACATTATATAGTATAGTTATTTCAGAGGGTTTCATATAAAAAGTTTAGTAATACTGAAATGTTTGCTGAAAATACTTTTTTTCAAAAATAATTTAGACACACATGTATAGAGTCAGTATGGTACAGGACAACTATAACTTGCTTGTCAGTTAAGGTATTACAAAGATCAATATTATACGACTAACCAGATCAATATGGTATGAATGTGATTTATCAAACTGTACCATTGGTATGGTTTGATAAATCACATCCATATCATATTGATCTGGTTAGTCATATAATATTGATCTTCTGTAACTCCTGTCAGCTATAGTTCTAACTCTAAAGTTATTATATATATATAACACCGAATCAGTATGGTACAGATCTTCAAATTGGCTCATACTATACTATACTAATCTGTAATATAACGCCTATCGAATACTATCAACTTATTAGATACAATAATTATATCATGTGATTTCACGAACATAAATGTTTGCGAAATCATTATATTACAAGTTGAATAGTATTCAAAAGTATATCAATTAACTTGTTAATTTGAAACTGACACTTTAATATCAACTAATTCGCAATTCAATAATAATAAGGAACGATTATTATCTGAATGCAATAACCTACAAAGATATTTAAAAAAGGATTATGAAACTGAACTAAAAGTAGATTTTTTGAGAAATATAAAACATAATACCTGTCTTAATTATTGTATGCTCTATACTTTTGGAACCTGCTCAGAATTGCATAAACTAACCTGTAATCGTTGTAGAGTTTTTTTTTATTTATTTAGACAAATTCAAGATCATACACTATTTGAAATTCATACAGAATTAAAAGAACTACAAGAATTCTTATTATACTATTTGGCACATCAAACAAGAAAAGTTTATTTAAATGCACAATTTAATGCGCATTTAGGTGAACTTGATGAAAAAGAAGCCGTAATTGTTGTAGACTATAAAATGAAAATCCTACCAAAAAGTACACATGAAATGAAACAAGATTTTTTTAGAAAAAAAGGATGGTCATTGCACTCAGTATTGATATACACTCACCTACCCAATAGCAATAATTTATAGGTTCGCGCTTTTGACTATTGGTCAACAGATTCATGCCAAGACCTTGGTTCACCGCTTTCTCATTATATGCTGCAATAACTGAGCTTAATCCTCAGCCAGAATAGATTTCTTTTTTATCTAATAATAGGCCCCATTATCACAATGCAGATCTAATGATGATTATGGGGCAATGGAAAGAATAGTACAATATTTATGTTAGAAAATGGACTTTTCTCGAAGCTGGTGAAGCTAAAACGACTATTGATTCTCACTATGCACAGGTTTACCTATCAATTTTTTTTATAATATAAAAAAATAAAATTAGATAAAATAAAAAAAAATAAAATAAAACAAAAAAAAAAAAATAAAATTAGATAAAATAAAAAAAGAACAAGATAAAAAATAAAAATAAAAAAATTTTTTTTTTTTGAATATTTCTAGATTTCGTACGCAATCAGTCGTCGCGTCTGTTTAGGATTTGATATTTCACAGGGATCAGATATTGAAATAGCAATTGAAGGAATTCGTGGAACATCAGTAGCCCACTTAGAATCAGAATGTACTAAAGGTAAGACAAGTATATGAGATTTAAAGTATTAGATAAATTGTTCTTTTTATTAGTTTCAGGTAAAAAAACAGTTCAATACTTTACCGGGTAACTCCAACTGGTTCTCGTGGGAGTGGCCGTACGATAGCGATTATGCGGGATACGTTCAAGCACGTGCAATGCCTAATATTAGTGAATGAAACAATTTTTCACTGGCGAAATTAGAGACATTGAAAAAGAAAGAAATACAAAAACCAAATCCTCAAGTAACTCAGCATTCGACCTCCAAATCTCCATGGTTTATTCCATTACTATATAAATCAGGTAATACATTACTATCCTATTATATTATATTTTTGTACAAATTATATGTTATCTGTTCTCTATGATTAGGAGTTATTTCTCATAACTTGACGGCTAACTATCTACAAGAACTAAGCAAAGGAAAAAAGTAATATTAAATCCATTCATATTCACAATTTTCTATTAAATACATTGACTAATAAATTTCATAACATACTACTTAAATATAAAGCATGTATGAAGAATTTCCACTTACATTAGAGTGGGTGCTAAAAGAAAATCAAAAATTCGGAAAAAAAGAGGCAGGCAAAAGAATTAGTAAACACGTAATAGCTTACTTGGAAGGGTATTTTTTGGTAGTAATGCTGATAAAAGCAATAGATTTAGTGCAGAAGAAATGTGGAAGGAATTAATAGAGTTGGTAAAAGTGAGTAATCTGAAAAAAAGCGATGTTTCAAAAGTGTCAACTATTCAAAACTGGATCGCAAGATATGCAATGCAATATAAGCAAAGAATAGCGCAAATAAAATTTTATGATAGTATGTAATAAAAGTCTACACATGTACATGCCCGAATTGCAAAGAGTTAAGGTTTTAGAGGGGCAAAATCTGGCGTTTCCCCAATGTAAAGTTTTTAGTAATCAAACTTTTTTTAAAAAAAATACTGATACTTGATTCTCTTAGTCTTACGTAATTAGTTGTACTACATTTTTAATGTAATCAGAATTTTATTTGCATAGTTAATATGAAGTAAAGTTTGTCTATTTTTACTTCTTTTATAAATGATTTGCAAATGTTTCCTCAAAATCTAATAATAAATTTCACTGGTTCCTATGCGGATCATAAATTAACTAATCTGTCTATTACTTTTAGATGCCCTTCTGATAGATTATTCATGGCAATCTTGCTTGAGAATGATTCTTTTATGCCCGGTATAGGTAGATACAATATTTCATTGTTTTCTTCATGACTTAACCATCTGATTATCATTAAGAAGATGATTATAGTACAGAGGCCTAATGTCATTATCCTTTTATTCTTCTTTTCTTTTTTTAGTCAATTACAATTTTTGGGTGCATCAGTCTAGCGTAGGACTTTATTATGTTGAGGTCTTGTGCACTTGGTTCTTCTGGGACTGGAGTGTTATTAGTGATGATTGCGTAATTGTGGGTTGTAATAGAATTGAGTTTCTCTATCGAGAATGTATCCTTTTTCTGATTTTTCAACTTTACTTTATTATGTTTTTTTTTGTTCTAGCATATTAATACTTTCTTTTTCCTTTTAATTCCCCATAGTCTTAGGCTCCTGGACGATGTTAGCTTTAGAAAGTTCTTCCCATTAGATTTTCAGCAAGTAATTCTCGTCTTCATTATAGCACTTTTGGACTAGCTTCGATATCTGTTCTTCTCCTTCAATTTGGTTTTCTGGTGCTTCATTCTGGGACTTTAGGATGCTACGATTTGGTCCTTGGAGTTTGTTTAGATGGAGTTGAACCAATTCTTTCTCTTGTGCTTCTAGTCAGCTAGACAAGAATATGAGTTGTTTATTTAACTTTTATATTTCTTTCTTTAGGTCGAGTTCATTATTTGATGTTGAGGCCCAATATTTTTGTCATAGTAGGTTCTTTTTATTAACCTCTTTGCTTCTATATTCCATACTAACATTTCTTAAATATTATAGACCTCGAAGCTGTTAGTACAAAAAGGATTTCGCTTTTAACAGGAGTTCGTCCTTTGGCTTAAGTAAGTATATGGGGATGCAGAACATTATAATTTCTTTGGTAGTTATTTTTGTTCCTTCTAACTCTTTCGTAATTATAATAGGAGGTTCTATATGATGGTCAAGTACTAGAGGGCGTTTGGGCAGCCACGATAAAGCTTTTTTTTAATTTTTTTATTTAACTGTTCAAGATCCCTAGATAATTTTTTTAACTTTTCTTCTATCTCTAGGCGTTGGTGATTTATTCGGATTTCAGGCTGGGCGGCGGGTAGAGTTAGTTTATTCAGTGG